AATCGATAAAGCTTAGAAGAAGCGCGCTGGGTCCTGGTGAAACTGGAAGTTTATGGTAATCACGGCTGCGGAGGAACCCGTGATTGATTGTTGTAGGCGACCTACTGCGGCCCGCCCACGCCCTCGACCACACTACTACGTACGGAACACACGTGTTCGCCGTTTTGTTGTACAACTATAATTTTCTTTAGCGAACCTTTTTGCGAACGTGCCCGCCGAAACTATTTATTAATGGCGGCCGTGACTGTGTGCAATAGAAAAGCCAGCCCTTATCTGTCTATCTATCGGCGCGTCCGTTACGCATGGGTGTGTAGACCATTCTTTAATGCGGCAGTAACGACAAGGGTGCGACTTCCAGCCCTACGGCCTGTTAAGACCCTAAGAAAAATGGCGATTGAGGATCCCAAGATTTAAGTGGCAGTTTCAAATGTGCCTACTTTTAGTGTTATTTCCTAAACGGAAACCATTTGTTTGCCTCATGCACGATCGACGAGAAAAATTTACGCAACACTCGAATGTATCTTTGAAGTGTTTATGCGAAGAGATTGCTCCGAAGGAAGTGCATTTGCTCCATTATATTCCTTTGTGTCGTTTTGTGAAGTGTATTTGTAGTCCGAAAGTACGCTTTAAAAATATTGAAACGTATATTCGTTGGATGTGCGTGCCCCAAAAAAGAGAGGTTGTGTATGAATCATCGAGTCCCGCTGTCACGCTGTTTTCGAAAACCATTAGTTAAACGTCCAATAAAAAGTAGTGGAGCTTGCGAAATAAAACCGAACCGGGTGTGTTCACTAGTGCGGTTTGCTTTACAACAGTCGGTTGTAAGTGGAACTTGGGCAATCTACACCAACTTGTAACTCCTACGTAATAGCTACTAAAAATCCTTTCACAACTCAAAAATAAGTTCTCGCTCAGAATGGGACACGAAATTCGGTAAAACTTATTTTTAGAAAATATAGCTGACCTAAGTTTAAGTGATGTGGGCTCACGGAATATAACGTTTCACTTATCTGTTATTAGACAGTGTGTGGTTACAAACGTGTGAGAGTCTAGTACAATTTTAGTATTATTTTGTAAAATCGGTCAAAGTAAAATAATAACATTTATACTTTATAGAATCTTGACAGTTGTACAGAGAATTACTTAGTGTAAATATTTAAGCGATTATATACTTATAGCAATATTGAACTGCCTCGACTGTCTCCTTGGGCGAGTGGTGTCGCAAGTGCGACTGCTAGACAGGGCGTCTCAGGTTCGATTCCCGGGTCGGGCAAAGTATTACGGGGATTTTTAAAAATTCTCACGGAATCTGAAATTCCGCCCGGTATATGACAATAGGCTCATCCCCTATTACATCTCATAACATAAACATTGAAAAGTAGGCGTTACATTGTACAGTGGAAAGTGCCGTAATGTGCACCTTTGCCTACCTCTCAACGGAAAAAAAGCGTAATGTTATATATGGAATACTGAAATAATTCAGATCTAAAACTCTGGACCGGTCTGGAACTCGTTTTACACCTCCATAGGTAATATTGTTAGGCGTAGTATACAACTTGTACAGAATTGTAGAATCTAAATATTGAACGGTATCCGTGGCAGACGGTCTTACGAAGAAAGTTGTTACATTGAGACATTTAGGGTAATATTTCTAGAGGCAAAACTTGATGCGTACACCCTCATATATCGCGCAGGAATATGACTTTAACAGGTGCTACCTCGTAAAGAAACGCAGGTGTACGCGTCCCACGGACGGTTAAATCCAGCAAATAGAAATTGATGTTAGTAGGCGAAATCTAAACTACACAATATTTTAACCATTTCGCTCGCTTTGTTGTTAAAATTCATGGTAAGCGGAAGCAATTAAGGGAGTAATATGTAAGGACGTAATGGAGTGACGGAATTTGTTGCTCCTGTGTTAATGGACGTGCGTATTTATGCTTCAAAATACTGCACCACAATCTCATGTTTCTCTCTTTCTCTTATTATAATGATCGCAATTATTTATACCTATAGCAATTATTAAAACTCAGTGTCTTATTAAAAACGTCATTAAGTAATCACGTTGATGACGAGCGTGTTTAATTATTTTTTAAGATTTTAATTACGTGGAAATAATATTCAAATTTTAATTGGATTTTTCTGACGGCCTTCGTTGTAGTAGTCGTAATTATAGGTACTGAAGAGATTGGTCTGTAATTGATTGTTTTTTGTTTAAAATATTAATTAGTACATTATTGCATACGAGTAGACTTTTACCTTTTTACTATGGTTTAATGATAAGTAACTTATTTCATTATTATATCTCGCTAAGTTCTAAACAAAATTACTGCTGAAGAGCAACTGTCTAATTTGTACAGCGATATTTAAAAACCGCTGACAATTTAAAACAAAATTACAATTTCAGCGTTGCCATTTAAATCTGTGTCATTTACTCCTCGGTCATTAAACACAAACACCGTCAAAGAAATAAAGATATTTTTTATTATTCAAAGTGAACCGCGGTATCACCCTATCACTTCGTGCGGGAAGGCAAAGCAGCTATTAGCTTAACGACCATTTTAATATAAGAGATGACATATTAAATTTACGAGGGCGAGCTCCCCACAGCGTAAACGTTGACGCTGACGTGTCGCCTCTGTCTTCTTTATTGCGTACGTAAATATAACTATCAGATGTGTTTATGATATGCTAAGGCGAATTTTTAATGGCCGGAATCGTTTACGAGTCCCGTACACTGTACTGAACTGAATAACCGATGATCGTAACTTTAATATTCCCCTGTCATGTGCGCGTTAAACAAACACTGTCTTTACTTTGTGACACGAACCTCTTACTTTGTACATTATTTACGAAAACCGTGTAAAAACTGAGACCGTAACATTGATCATTTTCTCCGACACGCAAGAAAAAAGGGACGAAATAATAAGCGATTAGTTTCCCGCTCCGTCGTATACACATTACGCGGATCGCAGGGAGAAAAGCTTGCTTCATGCACACCTCTCGTTTCGCACGGAAGCGAACCGTAATTACTCTAAAACACTACCCATTTGTTTGATGTCTTTGTTCGTTGTTTGCTCCACTTAGGGCGAGCATCACCCTTGCGATTTCGCCCGACACATGCCGTGAGTTTCGTACAGCCATTAGGTGCGAGACAATGGGGCAAGACACAAAAAACAAGCATTAATAATCAGGAATATGCATCGACAACGGGAAAGGGTGGTATCTATTCCCCAGCCCTTTCAGCGGAGACGAGAGATAATGGCGGTGGAAACTTCAAGCGACAAAGACAATGGTAATGGCTCGAATAGGTATAGATATAGTGGCGCCGATTTTTCGTACTTTTTTCTGCGTTCTCTGTTCTGCGTAGTGTGTAGTCTCCATTGTTTTGAGGGAGAGGCAAAAGTGATTGAGTTGTTTAATATCACTCGCGTTCAGACAAAAGAATTGTTTACGTGACGACGTCTCATTATAATAATTAACAGGCGGTAATATTATTATCACAATTTGTATCAGCACTTCAAAGATAAGAACTGTTCATTTAATTTCATGTTAAGTGGAATATTTGTGAAGTTACACTGATATTTATGCAGCGCTGAGTGGGTTGAGTTTACTTAATTGTTCCTTATAGTGCTATCAAACGTCGCGTGGATGACCATAGTAATTTGATTACGTCCCGAAATTTACATTAAAATAATAAAGAGGCATTAGAGAAAGACAATAGGCTTGTTGTGTGCGTGTTGTAGACGGCTACAAGTTAATCGGGGGCAAGCTTTATGGGCGCACATGATTGTAATAGTCTTGTAAAGGGTGACTGGTAATGTATTACGACAAATGGACGGCGCTATGCGAGACGGAGGAAAAAGAAAATAAGACTTGTATTTTCCTCATTTTTAATTAAATTGGATTTATCGTCGAGAAAAAGTGCCCATAAAAGATTTAATGATATTAGAAATCGTACGAATAAAATGCGTGATTAAAAAGTTTGAATGCGCGTAATGTAATTTCAAGGCGTACAGTCGAACAAACGGGTCGTACTGTAGTGCTAACTAGTACAATTAAGTAGTTAATTTAGTGTTAGCAAAGTTCATGGCTACATCTGGAATACACATGTCACAGAGCGCCACCTCCCCCATGGTGGGGAAAAATCTAAACACAGTAAAAGCCGACTTTAGTGGCATTTTATTGGCTCCATTTGGAGCACAGCCAGCTCTGTTCCTTCGCCTCTAATTGATATCTGACCAAAGCGTTCACTTTACGTTCGTACGATTTCTTGTAGACAAGTGTTTTGCGTATTGTTTCATCTGTCAGCTACAATTTCGTGGAAACGAGAGTGGTTTTACTAGAAAATAAGAGAAAAAAGTTTTATACCGATTTTTCTGCGGACATTTGAGTAGGTACATTTGGATTCGTGTTTCATACTTCGTTTTCACTCTTTGTACCAAAAACGGGAAAATTATTTTCGTTTAACATTTTATGGAATTTCTGACATATTTTGGTATGTTATGGCTGGTTGAAAATTATGTTGAATAATTAATATATCACTTAAGAGCCTCCCCTTATGCATTATAAGTGCAAATGAATATGTAACTTGGGAAGGAAGTGAACTTGAATAAATAAGGCATGATAAGTTACTTGCAATGTTACAACTTACTTATAACTTGCAAACTTTTCCTCATTTGTCTAACATACAAAGTTTTAGGATAACATCTAATCGGTAAAGTAGGATTGGGAGGTTTTTGTACGAGAATAAAGTACTATTATTATTTAGTTTGGCTCCAAGTTTTTTGCTGGGAAGTTTCGCGTAGTATATGTAGATTAAGTTTTTTTTCGTATCAAAAAGAGTGTAGGGATAACTTTATATGTATTACGAGTCATATTGTTAGTGTTTTATGTATTTGTTGATCATGTATAAAGCTATGTACTTGTTATGTTAAAATGCTTCAGTATTGAACGTTTAAGGGAGTAAGTGTGTAATGAAATATAAATCTAGTACTTACCATTTTATTGTTGATTTCGTGAAAATGTATTTCGCACACTTTATCTACTATGTCTTCACTTTGAAACGTGACGAATCCGAATCCTGAAACAAAGAGAAAGATATCACATTAGTTCCACGACCAATGCACATAATACTTAAGATAACATAAAATGATAATATTCATAAAACTAAAATCGCTACACTAATTACGATCAAGATATGTTCGAACTTGACTTAAGCTGAAAACCTCAGATATTCAGTCTTGAAAGTTTTCGAATTAACCGTCGCTTCAAGTAATCAGAAGCATAAAAGTCTTGGCTTTGATATCGGTTTAATTAAAGGCAATTCGCGTCAAGTTAATTTCAAAAGGCACGTCAATCAGATCGACAACACCTATCAGAGCATTGTGTCGGTCGGCCGGGGCAGGGCCGCGTCTTTGTGCTCGACGATTTAATAAAACTTGCGCCCTCGCCGCCGCCATGCACTCGCGACAAACCAAACAATACCTACCCTCCTTTAAATGCAGCTAGACATTCACATTGCCACACAGACGACCAACTTCCCCTATATGTGTTCCCCGTCCAACTCAAAAGATCGTTCAAGTTTGCCCCCGCACGATTCATGAATTACAAATTGCAATTTTGAGTTTCGCACTCGAATCGCTTTCCGATATTTACACGATTCTATGCGACAACTTACGACCTAGCCAGCAATCTGTCGCACAAATAAATCCCTCCAGTTCGAAACACGTCGCTCTCTGCGTCGTGTTTCCCGATTCGCAATCACCTGACGTAGACCAAGTTTCCGCTTAAAGTGGCAAACAAAACAAGGCATGAGCAGGCGTGTTTCTGTCTGCTAACGATTAAGACACACACACGTGACGTATCCACCCACGACGACAAATAGCATTAGCGAGCCGCTCCGCAAACAGTCGGTGGCGCCGCGCGCCGCGATTATGCTGACACGTACACCGACACCGGCCCCGTATCGCTACATCTTTCTCGTCCCGTGTCCACGTGTTGATATGGGCACGTGTGAGCGACATACATCTTCATGAGTCGGGATCAACGTCGGCAATCCCGAAAGTTATACAGAACCGTTTCAAAAGTGAACTTGTCCGACAATAGCCCTCAGCGACGAGGCGCTAATCGATACCCTTGTAAATGTTACGGCGGAGCCGATACTTATAATCTGACAGTGTGGCTCTTTGTTCATATTTAGTTCATCACCTTTCACGACTTCGCTGGCCTAAACAAACAGCACGATCCGCCCCAAACTAGGGCGCACTTGGTATTTCACGCGCGGCCGGGTGGCTTTGCGTAGGAATCGAGGCAGAGATAGTAACACCCCGAAAAGGCAAATAGGGGTTCAATCGAGTTCCGTTAGATGACCGTATTTTCTTTATGCATTATAAGGTCGGTGCGGTATATCAAGTGAATCGTTTCTGCGTTATTGCTTACCCAATAAAAACGATTGGAAACAATCCCCACTTACATAAAACATGGTGTCGGGATAGAAGTAGGAAGCTCGATAACGCATTGTTTTGAAGCTCGGATATTATAAGTGAGGCAGAGAGCCGGTTGGACGACAGTTATTATGTACTCGCATGCCGAGTGGAGCCGATCCCCCCTTATTTATGCGGGTCTGCAAACTGAATAAAGTAAGAAGCAAGCAACGTCGGCGGCCGGCGAGTAAAGTTATCTGCGGGCGAGATGGCTGAGCAAATATGAAATCGGACCACACTATCAAACTAAATTAAGTACTTCTTAATGGATTAGCAACGTTAAAATCACCGATATTTTGTTGGCATGCCCACAAACTGAGCAAATAAATACAATACCCCTAAAGTTTGTAGATGAAACGTTAAGAGAAACGGGAGAAATAGCATTGTCACTGACCACGTAAAAAGTTTTGGGTTTCGTGTTGCCTTTGTGTGCTCGCTCTAGATAAATGGGGTATTTTCGTGAAATTCGTCCGCGTCACTTCTCGTAACAATGGCGAAGATAAATAATCTCTGCGTAAGAAAAGGATTCCGTAAACATAATTATTTGAACTCGCAATTGTAGCTGTGAAACGCTAATGAAAGTTCTCCTGGGTCGCTTCAGGAATTAACTTTATTTTTCTCCGACTTCAATTACACTGGGTACCTTTACTTTTAAAGCGGAATACTTTAATTAAATCTGGCGGCTTATAGGTGATCTGCGTCCCTCTATACTGATTGGTCCTATACTTTGTTTGCTAAATTAAATTAACATCACTCTGTGAAACTTTAGGTAGTTTTCTGAGAAAATTTTTACTTTACAAAAAACCGAGTGATATAGAATAAAAAAATGTTGTTACCGAATTCCCATTAACATATCAATATATTTCTGTTATCAATAGGGATATTCCCCTACCTGGGCTGACGCTATCGAGTACGCGAACCTCAGCACTATAGCTATGAAAACGGCGAGCGATTTTTATTAATTCCCATTGAGTTCGCACCTGCGATAGCGGCGCTCGTTATTTTAATATAAGAAGCGAGAGGTTGAGGCAAAGATTATGAATGTGTCTCCCGATATCGGATATCTCGACACATCTGTCGGGCGGCACGTGGAGCTGACAGTGGGCGGCCTGCCCCCCCGCACCGCCGCCTGCCGAATGCTCCCCCGCCCCCGAATCGGGGCCATAGGCAGTATAATCTGCCCCGCCACTGTATGAAACACCGGCCGGTGGCGTTTATGGCGCTATAATAACCGTATAAAACGCGACTTATTGTAGGCGTCGATAACGGACGTTATACAACCTTAGGCCTCCACTTTGTGCCACGCCGACGCTTCGGGCTCTACCACATTTTTTCTACGTTACCTTCGCTCCCGAATGTAATGGAATTTATTGCGATATCTCCTACTAATGTAATTCCCGCAGTATTCATTTGTCTAATTGAATATTACATTAGTACATACATTATGCACAAGGTACCTGTTCCAAGGCGTGCACTAAATAAGAACTTGCCAGTTCCACTTCGATTTGTATTTTCGTTGGCACACTAATGCAGAATTTCTTCTCCGACATGCAGATTTTCGCAAGATGTTTTCCTTTACTGAGAATAAATATTTACCTGCGCTGCGAAAAATTCAATGGTGCAAAACGCGGATAGAACGTGGCTCACGTACGAGATTAATTCTCTATCGATCCTATCAATAGTGCTTGGATTTAGCTTGGATGATCACAGCGTCGTACGTACACTTATGTGTTGTCGTCTCCACAACAACAACTGTACACAAGTTAATAAGCAGTATCTTGTTACAGACAAAGTGAGTCAACAGGACTCATTGTAGCGTCAATTTTGCTTGTTTTTGTACAGAATAAAAGTAATGTAGTATGTCGGCGATAACTAGCAAGTTTTCATTAGGAGCGCTCTCAACAACCTCTCAAATGATCAGCGGAGTTGGCCGGTGGCGGCGCTCGACGTCACAACTTTTGTTATTGTTTCGCTTCATTATTGTAATACGAAATACGCGGCACAATAATTAAGAGATCCTCGTCTATCGCCCCTTCTGACGTCATAGTTGGCCCAAACTTTTATCAACGAGGTCTCATCGTGACAGAATGTTTGCTACGTAAATAATTGCCGGATTGCTTCTGAGCTCAGCTAATAATAACAAGTTAATCGCAATAGTTATTATCGAGAAAAAGGCTACGTTATATGAAACGGGATCGCCTCCGCTGGGCGCTGTTACGCCATCAATGTTTATTAGAAACCTATTAGCTAAACATTTGTTGCCACGTGGGTGGTCTAAGTACCCAACAACTTATTTGCTCTGATATAAAAATCTGAGGAATAAGAAAATGAGGTTTTATTATCAAATGCAAGTTTGACATTTATTTAAGAAACTACAGTTATTATATCATAATGATGAACATTAACAATAACCATTTAGTTAGTAAAAAATTTCAAAACCAAATAGATAATATTGATATTCAACCATATCCATATAATATGGTTACGTGCCAACGACAATGGTAAGGAGAAAATTAATCTTTGACGTATCCATTACAAAGTTGTACGTGGAAAAGGTAAAAAAATATAACACATAAAATCCCCAAGCACCTAATACGAATTTTATGTCTATAAATCACACTAAAGCTGAAACTGCAGAACGAAACGATTCTTCTCGAGTTATATTCTTATCAACGTTACAGAAGCGTATTACACTCTAGTTTGTGCTAATGGATGATTGATCACACTTTCATACAACTTCTTATTAGATATTTATTTCTGTTTCAAACACTACTCGGTATGTAGGTAAGAACAATAGTAATACATTACCCGACTGTATGATAAAGTAATCTATCGAGAATTCAAATGGTCGCTCGTAACAGACGCATCAAAATAATACGCGAACCCGCAACCAGTGCCAATGCAAACACTCTGCTTCTAATGCATTCGTAGTGAGGTGCAAAATCTAAATGTAAACTTTCGGCAAGCTAAGAAAATGGAAAATAAAAGCTGGAAAGAATTGGCTCATCCTCATTTTCTCTATTGTTAAGTTGAATAGGACACGAACTATCAACTTGGTAGACGCGCTGACTGTGCGGAGACACCTTTATTGTCTACATTCAGGTAAGTAAAACAGAAACACTGCTCCTACGACTCTTTTTCCTTCAAGATGTTCAACTTTTAAAATCTCGAAGTTTGTACAAGTTGTTTTATTGCTTCAGAAACGTTTTAAAGCTTTTGACACAAGAAGAATTTTCGGACTCGTCCCGTAGTGTTTGGCAAAGAATTCGCAACATGATTTCTTACAGAAGCGTGCGCTGTGCAGTGTTGTGACGTATCTGCGTGGACCGACTACACAATACTATTGAACATATGTTCTCATTATGTGTTTACTTGAAAATTTCTTTGACAACCAACTAAAAAAATTATACCATAAATCAAATTGCATTAAAAAGAAAATTGTAGAATGATCAGTGAGAGGAGAAATATGTGTGTGTGTCAGTTAGGCCACAACCGGAGGACAATTTATCAAGGGCGACGGTACCCTCGTCCAATCGGTTGATAGCAATGCCATAAATATTTACTTTAATAAGATTCGGTCCTTTTTATTCGCGTGTGTTT